TTAAGGGAACCCACAGACAGCACTTACTCTTTTTTTTTTTTTTTAACATCTTTATTGGGGTATAATTGTTTTACAATGGTGTGTTAGCTTCTGCTCTACAACAAAGTGAATCAGTTATACATATACATACGTTCCCATATCTCCTCCCTCTTGCGTCTCCCTCCCTCCCACCCTCCCTATCCCACCCCTAGCACTTACTCTTGTTTTATGATATTTGTACGCATCCCTCCTCAGGGCTTAAAAGTGTTTCTACACAGCCCCAAACAAATCTCTTGCTTACTTCTTTGAAGTCCTCAGATACAAAGTAATCATCATTTTTTGTTTGTTTGTTGCTTATTGCCTACATCCTCATCACCATCCTGATTTTAATACATACTATTCAGATCTCATCAGGCCATTTATCTAGTTTGCCAAATGCTGAAAACAGTGGTTCTTTTTTTAAAAGTTTCTCTTTAGTGCGACCATTATGGAATTATGGAAAACTGCATTCTAAGTCTAAACCCCTTTGGAAATAATTTTTGCTAACCCATGTGAAATCTGCCTGGTAAAATTGCAGGAAGCTGAGGCGGAGGTGGGGTGTTCCCTTCAATTATGGCACTAAAGTCCCAGTTTGAAAGAGCCAGATTTTAATTATATCACAAGGACAATTTAGAGATTATCTCAGTAAATCCTATGACTGAATGATGGACTTAAGCATTACTCTGCAGAGAAATAAGTTTTTCCTATAGGGGAGGAAAAACTGTTTTTCCTTCTACCCCTCTTAGGTTCATTGCCCTGGGCCCTGTAAATTAGATTGACAAGAGACTGATTAACAAGAGAAAAACAGAGCAGTTTATTAACATGTACACTGTGCATACACATGAGAGCACTCAGTGATGAGCAGCTCAGAGAGGTGGTTAGAACTTGGGCTTATGCCATCTTTTTTTTTTTTTAAAAAAAAAAAAGCAGTAAATTGTTAGAGAAGTGACAAGACGAAGGAAAAGGACCTTGAGTTTCTAGGGCAGCTTATTGTAGGAAGGTAAATATATGCGGAACTAATGGAAGGTAAGTGCTGAGTTAATAAAGTTTGTTTTCCCTCTGGTGCCATCTCCGGGCTGTTAGGGTATAGAGTTGTCTCCAGTGATTAACTTCTGTCCTTCCAGGAAGAGAAAGGAGGAGAACTTTCTTTACAAATGTATGTCCTGCTTTTAGGCAAATAGGGAAAGTGTGAAGAGCTCTCTTTGAAGCTGCTGCTTCTCAGTTGCCTTCAGTTCAAAATAACCCTTATGCCAAAGTGGCATATTCTGTACCCTTCATTCCCATCGAAGGAGACTGTGGGGCATCTTAGAACCGTATGAAATGGAAACAGACACTAGTTATTTTTAAAGAAACCATGTACACTTTTATATAATATTTTTACCTCAAAGAAGGCTCTTGAAGCGATTACAAATTCAACATGGCTAACTCAAGTGAATGATGTTGTTTTGTCATTTGAAATATTAAAATCGAATTTTGCCCCAAGGGCTTTTTTGAGTGTGGAATGCTAAGCAGTTTCTAGATAAAACAAATATCTGGGTCCATCATTTTCCAGTTATTATTTTCTCTCCTCCTTCTACTCACATTCTTTTTTAGTAAATGTTCTTCAAACTGTGTTTCAGAAAATATGTATAATGGTTCCAACCACCCTCATCTGTGGCTATTTTCCTGGCTCAGTTGTACAATACAGTAGTGCCCCCTTCTCTGCAGATGGGGGATATGTTCCAAGACCCCCAGTGGATGGATGCTTCAAACCATGAATAGTACCGAACCCTATATATACTATGATTTTTCCTATACATACATACCTGTGACAAACTTTAATTTATAAATTAGGCACAGTAAGAGGATATGTGAATTGCCAGGATCACTACTCTTGTGCTTTGGGGTCAATATTAAGTAAAATAAGGGTGACTTGAACACAAGCACTGCAATATCATGACACTGGATCTGATAACCATGACAGCTACTACGTGACTAACAGACAGGATACGCTGGACAAAGGGATGATTCACATCCTGGGTGGGACGGAGCAGACGACAACAGATTCCATCATGATGCTCAAAACGGCACACAATTTAAAACTGATGAATTGTTTACTTCTGGAATTTTCCGTTTAATATTTTCAGACCTCAGTTGACTCGAGGTAACTGAAACCACGGAAAGCAAAACCACCGATAAGGGGAGGGACTACTGTGTTGTGGTAAAGGATTCAGCTTCAACAATACTGACTGGAGAAGAGAGGTAAAAGAAGATGCTCACTGAAGCATTTTACTAGAAAAATAGCTGTAAAACACGTTAGTATAGAAATCACATGCAAATTCATTAAAATAGTGTTAAAAATTCAAGTCCCCCTCTGCCAACCCCCCTCCTTTTTTTAAACCATTTTAACCGCATATAAGTATATAGTCTGTGGTATTAAGGACATTCACATTATTGTACACTCTCACCCTCTGATGAAGAATCTAGTTCATCTTTGTACAAATCAATTCTGCAGGAGTAGAACAATCCAAGAAAGAAGGGGAGGGGAGGAGAGGGGAAAGAAAAGTAAGAAGGAAGGGAGGGAGGAAAGCCACGCCGAGAAGCTTTCACCTTCCCTTGCACATGCAGGTAGAGGGTCTGACAGCAGTGAGCTCTCGTAGCTGGAAAAAGAACCATGGCAGTGCTGCAGGTGGGATTTCAAAGACTGGAAAATATGACTAGAACTGTATTGTGCCCTGACTATTTTTGGACCCAGGCCTCTGCTTTTTCACATTCAAGGCTTGAAGTCTGTTGAGATTTTTGCATGGCTAACAAGGCTGCAATTGGGATGGTTTCCCCTTCACCAGTAGCAAGCCATTACTTAGCACCATCTATGTGCAGAATAAACAGGCAATGACAAAGTCAAGGGTCTTACAGAAGCAAAGGATACGCACATTAATATATATCACAAATTAATGGTAGCGCAAGTTTTGAAGACAATGTGTTGCTATAGGAATTCATAAAAAGGAGTAACTTCTGCAAGCTAGGATGATTTTTGCTTAATTGTTACAGTGACTCTGCATTCACTTAGTTCAAATTTTAATTGAAATCAAATGTCAATAAAAATCTCACTTTATGTGCAGGATTTGAAATGATATTATGCACGAAAAAGGGCACGGCTTACGTAATTTCAAAGCCAGTCTGCAAAACCGTTTTTATTAATGCTACATGATGGCTGCATTACAGATAGAAGAGACATATCCAACATTCTTTGTCAGTCTTCTGGGAAAATAGGTCTTGAATTATGAGAGCTGTGGTTAGTGAGAGCGTCTCAGGAATACATTCCGCTGTTAAATGCACTGCTCTTATACTCTAAAGCCTCTGATGTTCTTGAGGGCAATTGGACTGACTGTTCCGCATTATTTTATTTTCTGGTGGAAGCATTGCTACTCTAGCATAATGGAACAGATTTTCCTGCGGCTGAAATGGAAATATCTTGGAAAATGTAAACCTCTTGTATGAAAGCTAAATTCCCAGGATCTCTCTCTAGTGGCCAAAGATGACAGATCATGGCTTGTGGAATGTATCTCATCTTCACTTCCCGTGAATGAGACCAATGTTGGAATTGCAAATAGAAGCCCCACATTGATAAGATTGAGATATATTGCTAAGACTTTGCAAAATATATCACGAAAGTGGCCAGTGGTTTAAAATGATGGCTAACCCTACCCAGAAGCATGGAAAAATGCATTAAATCCAGCCATTCACTAGTCTGTTCATTATTAAAAACCTTCACAGGGTGAAGCTGAGTCGACCTGAAGACTACACCATAGGTCTTTCTGTCTAAATTCAAATAGTGACTTTAACTGACTATTTTTGTAAATTAAGATCATTTGGCAGGTACATGAAAAAATGCTCAACATCACTAATCATCAGGGAAATGCAAATCAAAACCGCAATGAGATATAACCTCACACCTGTCAGAATGGCTATTATCAAAAAGACAAAAGTAGTGTTGGTGAAGATGTGGAGAAAAGGGAACCTCTGTGCACTGTTGCGGGGAACGTAAATTGGTGCAGCCACTATGGAAACAGTATGAAGCTTCCTCAAAAAATTAAAATTAGAACTACCATATGATCCAACAATTTCACTTCTGGGTATTTATCTGAAGAAAATGAAGACACTAATTTGAAAAGATATATGTACCCACGTTTATTGCAGCATTACTTAACAATAGCCAAGACATGACAACAACCTGTGTCCAACAATGGATGAATGGCTAAAGAAAATGTGATTTTACATATAAATTATATATTATATATATAATGGAATATTATTCAACCATAAAAAAAGAACAAAATCTTGCCATTTGTGACAACATGGATGAACCTTGAGGGTATTATGCTAAGTGAAATAAGTCAGAGAAAGACAAATGTCATATGATTTCACTTATATGTGTCATATGATTTTACTTACATGTGGAATCACATATAAATATATAAATACATTTAAACGACAACAACAACAAACAACTGGGCTTATAGATACAGAGATTGCATTGGTGGTTGCCAGAAGTGGAGGGTTGGGGAAGTGGGCAGAATGGGTGAAAGGGGTAAAAAACAAAACAAAACATCATTTGGGTTTGGGTTTGTTTGACAGTGCCAACCCGAAAGCAATTTTTAGACTGATTCAGCAGACATTAAAAGATGCGTGAGAAAGTGGACTATGTTAAGCAACTTAGAATGGAGGAAAATAATAGTGTAAGAGATTGCTATACTTTTGACATTTTACATGTAAATCACATTCTAACTAATATGCATCAATTACTTGATTCACGACCTCAGAACTTTTCATAATGGATTTGAAGCACAAAGTACAGTATTTATAGTCAGCGTGAAGTCTCTGCTTTCAATGATGGTTATGACCTTTGGGCTAGAGCGCAAGTTGAGCTCCGCGCTGTGAAGAGTTATGTCATGCCAAGGCAGTTGACCACTCTTTCTTTCCTATTCTCCACTGTCTTGCAGACCAGATGATGTGCTCCTGCATCGCACGCATAATGAGATTGTCCTCCTGCATTGCTTCCTCTGGCCCCTGGTGACATTTGTGGTGGGCGTTCTCATTGTGGTCCTGACCATCTGTGCCAAGAGCCTGGCAGTCAAGGCAGAAGCCATGAAGAAGCGCAAGTTCTCTTAAAGGGGAGTCGGCTTACGGGAAGCAAAGCACAGAAGCTGCACTCATCTGCACACATCTACCTGCAGAGCCTGCTTCCTGGCGCAGGAGATGGAAGGGGCTGTGAGAGGTCTCTGAGAGGCTCCCCCTCAACGATAGCAGAAACAGGCACAACCGGAAGACTTGGAACCTCATAGATTGTTTTCCATGTGTTGTAGCGATGGCTAAAGGGTCAAGCTGTAAGGAGTATCTGTTTCAGAAAATCCAATAGAACTTAATTTTCTTTGGGAAGTAACAGTATATAATTGTACAGTGTAGAATACAAACCATTATGATTTATGCTACTTAAAAATATTAAAAAGAGAGTGGTCTGTGTTCTTTTCTATTTTCTTTTTTATGCTTAGAACACCAGGGTTTTAAAAAAGGGTCTTACGGGTTTCATTTGATTTTGCTAGATTAAACTTTTACTTGGAGACAGGAATTCCTGCACAAGTCTTGACCTCACAATGTAATCCCCAGTTTCCACTATTAAAGAGTACCTTTTGACTCCTGCTTGAAAAAGGAAAACTGCACTGTTAACTCAGACTCCAGTCACTCCTGTGACTCTTCAGCAAGGAACCCTCAGAGATTGGGAAAACATTCTCCACTCTTGCCTTTGCCTCTGCATTGTTTTTCACCAGATTATTTCTTAAGAGAGGGAGATGATTCTGAACAAGGCCTGTCCTAGCTCTAAGAGGACTGTGCCTCTTCATTCACCTGTTCAGGTTATTTTTGATGGATTTTATCTCTGTGCAGTAGGATGTACATGATGTGAAGGACACTTTTCAGCTTAGTTAAATGCTATTTTCATTTCTTTTTCTTTTAGGTCAGAAAAAAAAAATAGTCAAAATCAGTTAAACATTCTATTATATTTTCTTTGTCCTTCCTTTGATGTTTTCAGTATTAAAACGAAAATATTGCTGCAGTTGTTTCGTTTGCTTGGACACACCTGGAGATGCAAAGCCAGCTCACATCACTCTGCTGATGAGCTCTCTGTGCCTTTATCAAAAGTTCATTGAGGAGACCATACTTCTTTGCATCTGTTCATAAACTCAGATTGCAAATATCAATCACAGGTCTCAGTGAATATCAAACCTACCCTATTTATTTACCATGTGGATCAAACTTTTGTTTCGATGAGATGTACATTTTTGGTCAAGGAAAAACTGACAACATAATCTCTTTTTTGCTTTCTTCTAATATTCTTCAGACGTGCTTCTATCAGAATAAAGGCAAATTGGAATTTAGGGGCAAGCTTCCCTCAGTTATTTGTGCAGCATTCTAAGAAAGATACGTGTTAGTGGAATGATGATTTCCTGACTTTTAGTCCACATACCAATGTTTTCTTAATTCTAGAACGCAAGTAATTGAGTGAGCCATTGTCTTCTGTGGAAGACTAGGGTGTTGGATGATATTTTTCTTCCAATTCAAGTGTTACAGATTTCACTGTGAAAAAGGCCTTGAACACACTATTTATGACATCCTTTGAGGCAGCTACAGTGCCTTGACTTCAATCCCAGTTTTCTGTTGCAGCATCCCTGTTGTCTTAGCAACACAGTGAACCATTCTGAAGCACAGAGTAACATGAAACTGGGAATCAGAGAAAGTCACCTTTGCATCACATTGTGAGAGATAAAGTCTACTTTATCCATTTTTATCTTAACCCAATAATCTGTGATTAAGTGATTACAGGGAGTAGATAAAAATAGTGCATCAACATTTGTGTTGGTAAAAAGGGAAGGTGATATATATTGATGAGTTTTTATTTACCAGTTTTTTACTCATCCATTTATATTAACTAAATGCTTCCATTTAGGCTCAAAGAGTATACCTGATTATATTCTGTAGGCTGATTTTTTGGAAAAAAGGAGAAGCATGCTGAATGACTGAGGTCACATATAGTTTTAAGGTCTTCCTTGCTTGTAGCCAGTTAAATTTGAGGTTCTTTATTATACTTATCATTGAAGATAGAATTTGAAGGAACAAGAAGACATTTTTAAGATCATAGAAGGTAAAGAAGTTTAACTTCTTAATATTTTAATTTTCTTTTTTATATAAGCAAGGAAATGGTATAAGCTGCTAGAACAGAAACCCCAAAATATCATGACTCATGTAAGATAGGAGTTGATTCCTTTCTCATATAGCAATCCAGAGGTAGTTGAGAAGTCCAGGACAGGGAGGGTAGCCTCTGTTTCATAAGGTAATCAAGGGATCCAGAATTTGTCTACCTTGTTGTCCTCTCATTACCAAATGTGTTATTCTTCCCATAGTCAAAGCTGGCTCAAAGAAGCACAGCCAATTTGTAGCCTGTGAAAAGAGAAGAATTTGGGAGCTAGCTATTTCCTTTTAAGGAAGCTCCACCCATCACTGTACTCAGAGTCCATTCGTGAATACTGACTACATAACTATACCTGGCTTCAAGGACTGCTGGAACATGTTTTCTCCAGCTAGATGGACATATGTCCTACTAAAACTCCGGGGGAAAAACAAAAGGAGAGAGTGAATGCTACAGTAAAAGACAGGAATGGTGGGCAGCTGTCCATGGCCGGTGCCATGATGAACATCTGAGCAGGGATGACAAAGATCTCTTGCCCTGGCAGGATATACAGTCCTTGCTTAGACTTTGCTCTCTGGGAGGAACGCCCTTGTCCACTGCCTTCTGTGGCCTCTAATTGACTTCCAGGAAATTCTTGCTCTTCAGATTATGTAGCCACGTACGAAACTTTTGGGAGGCATCACAGCTTTTGCAGGCCCCTGCCTGCTGGTGGAGATTTGTAGACCTAGATTTCTTTAGAGACTGAACAAATGTAGATTTTTATAGTTTATAGGATTGTTGTTTAATTGACTGTTGTACGGAGTCTGACTCCATTTTCGATGTTTGACTGATAACAGCTTTTCCTTTCTGCTCCCCATTCCCTTTCCCCTTCTGTTCCACATCTGGGCAAGCTGATTAGAGAGCCTGGGTACCCCCTGCTTTGGACTGGCTGGGAAGTTCAAACCACACAAGCCCTGGCCTGCTCGCAGGAAACCTCTCCCTGCCCCACACCCTAAGAATAATAAAAGCCAAGCCAGTCAAGTCATTTTTGGATCTACTCGGGAACTGCCCCACTCTCCCAGAAAGTGTCATTCATTATGTGAATAATAAACCTTTTCATACCCTCTTGATGTGTGTGTGGTTATTAGTCTCAACATCCAAACCAAATTTTGGGTAACGGGGTCCATCTGGCCTCTGAGGGATGCTTACAACGTTGGTGATAAAATTTCATCAAAACATGGTTTTTGGTCTTTTTGCTTTCAGTTTTGTTAGTTCAGATGAAAGTATCCACAGCCAAAGGGCTACTCTCATTATATCAGTAGTTCTTAAGGTAGCAGCATCTTATTTACTGTGTCTGTGCTTGGCCCGTATCTCCAGCCCTTAATCGAGTGGCAGCCACTTTGAAGCCTTCTAGAAAAGTGGGTTTAAGTTAAAGAATGCAGTGCCCTTTACCTGGTCTTTTCTGCTCAACTGACTTCCATTGTCCAGCCGGTAATACTTAATGGAGAATTTTGAGAAAGACTGCATAATAATCTGCTGTTTGGAGTATAGAAGCCGTAGGGCTACAGGATATAGGCCCGGCTCTTGTAACAAAGCTGAGTTACCTAGTTGTAACTAGTTTTTCTTGTTTCACTATTTTTCACGGTTCCTCACTATAAAAAACAGCATAGCTCTGCTTTTTTCTAACTACTTTCCCCATAGCTACATGTCTGCCTTTCAAGTTGCTAGTGCCAGTTTTACCTAATGGTTAGTCAAAGCGTAACAAGGGTCTCTAGTTTTCCATCTTGCAGTATCTATTTCCTTGCTGCCTGGCAACAATGCAAAGCCACATATTTTAGACTTTTGTTATGATGGGGATATAATTTACATTGCCTTTTTCTGAATGGTCTCATCTGATGATCTCAGCTGGTGATTCCTATTATCTCCTGCCCTTACCTGTTTTGAGCTCTGAATGTATTTGCAATAGCTCTGATGCATTCTTTTTTTTTTTTTTTAACATCTTTATTGGAGCATAATTGCCTCACAATGGTGTGCTAGTTTCTGCTCTACAACAAAGTGAATCAGTTATACATATACACATGCCCCCACATCTCTTCCCTCTTGCGTCTCCCTCCCTCCCACCCTCCCTATCCCACCCCTCCAGGTGGTCACAAACCACCTAGCTGATCTCCCTGTGCTATGCAGCTGCTTCCCACCAGCCATCCATTTTACGTTTGGTAGTGTATGCATGTCCATGCCACCCTCCCACTCCGTCACAGCTCACCGTTTCCCCTCTCCACATCCCCAACTCCATGCTCTAGCAGGTCTGTGTCTTCACTCCCATCTGATGCATTTTTAGGTCTCTTTCTCAAGTGTAGTGATGGGCAGACAATGCAATGACAATAAGTAATGGGACAAAATATTACCAAACAACATGGATAAGGAACCGTTTACCTGGCTCAGATAATTTGTCCTTTTGAAAAATTACTGAAATATATCAATCCATTATAACAACATTTTCCTAATATCTCAACATTCCTGATATATGCTGTACAGTTCAGAGGCACTGTACTCTCCATGGTCCTGTCCCATGGCTTGGGCCTCTCCTTTCACCATATTTGTAAATCTGGTTCTTATTCATCAGGTCTGAGCTTAAATATTGACTTTTCCCAGAAGCCTTCACTAAATCCTATACAAGTAGATTTCTCCTCTTCATCCTTCTTTCTTTCTTCCTTTGTAGTACCTACTGCTGCTTATACTTATTTGTTTACTTGTCTGTTATTTATCTCTCTCATTAGATGATAAGATCCATAAGAACAATGTTGATGGATTTTTTTTCCCCACAACTGGCATAGTGCCTGACACATTAAGGTGCTAAATAAATGGATAAATGCTCCCCAGATCCATTATGTCCTTTGTACATACTCTTTCCACGTCCTTTCCAACAAGAAACTTATTGATCTTTTTATCCATAATGTCCACGATAAGAATAACCCCCAATTAACTCTTAATAAGTGGTTTCCATGTGCATCTAAATGCCTTGTCAAACAGCTTTCTAAGTTCTTCACCAAAGCTGGGCAGAGTAAGACACTTAGCGTAGTACCCAGGGCATAATTAACCCTGGAAAAAATTAAAATTAATGAATAAACAAATACATATTGCAATTTTAGCCTTAAAGTGAAAAAGTTATAAAACAGATAAGCTTATGTTTTTGTATTTAAATATCATATGCTATCCTTTAAACAAGTGAACCGTAGAATAATCACTCGACCGTTATCAAATTATTCTAAAAGTTAAGCAGCTTAATACAACAAACATTTATTTTCTCATATCGTTTCTGAAAGTTAGGAATCAGGAAGTAGCT